CTAATGGGAACAGCCAAAAGAAGAAGAAAGTTAACCTTCTGTGGTCTGTAGATGACTGCCATCCTCCATGCTGCCGCTAGGAGGTGGTATTGCTCTTTCCAGTAAAATATTGTATTATTTCACTTGGTGAAGTCAGTCACATATAGTGGATTCAAAACAGATTTTTTAAATTATATTTAAAAATCTGCATATATGGCAGCAAAAAAACAACACTCACTGAAATGTATACTGCAGTTTTTTTTATGTTGGTACAGCCAGAAATTGACTCATATCTGTCTATCTGTGTTTCTGAACCGGAAACCAACCAAAGCACTGCACAGCTGGTTTGCTTCCCCGATGACATCTGTAGCGAACAAAACTCTATAGTGTCTGTGCACACCCCCACAAAGACGCCATACTTGTTTGATCTCTGCCAAGTCTAGTTTACAGCAAATGTATCTTTGAACAAATGTGAAAGGGAAAAAAAGGTATTTGCCTGGGGAATAAAAATATAACTGGAAGGAGAACTCCTGTGGGATTTGGTTGTTTTTAGTGTATTAAATTTCAGCCCATGTAGTTCCAGTCAGTCCCAGTGTTGGACTGGTACCAGTCTGCTGCCTCCTCATGTGACCCATTTATAGAGCAAAATGAACACACACACTTCAGAGGAGACTACATAGACTTACATTCACTTCCTGGAGACTTATCACAACCACTACATGTCGAATCCCAGCCTCACCCTAACCAAGTCATGACCCTAATTGATTTACATAGTGGAGACCAGTATCTGGTCCTCACAGGAAGGCTGTGTTGTGTGCAGTATATGTTGTGCTATGTTAGCACACTAAACTAAGATGGTGAACATATACTAGCTAAACCTTAGTATATTAACATGATGGTGTGAGCATGTTAACATGCCAACTGTTACATTTAGCTCAAGTACATCCTCAGAGAGCATTGACAAATCACTGCAGCTTTCTTTTTTTAATCAAAGCCATGTCTAACAGAAATAACTCTTCATAAGATAGGTTAATGCATTTTAAATAAGGAAAGAAATCAGACTGTCGCAGAATCTTTTCCCTCAGCTCCTAGCTTTGAGAATAACTAAGTGGATCCACTGAACGTGGTCTTCTTGTCTCAACCGCATGTACATTTTGGAACCTCATTCTCAGGTTTTTTAGTTTTTCTGTGGGCTATTGCTTAATGTAAAAATAGTATATAAAATTAATACTTATCAGCCACAATGAGAGCACTACTCCCATTCTGCTGTAGTGAAGCGAAGCCAATTGATTTACATAGTGGAGACCAGTATCTGGTCCTCACAGGAAGGCTGTGTTGTGTGCAGTATATGTTGTGCTATGTTAGCACACTAAACTAAGATGGTGAACATATACTAGCTAAACCTTAGTATATTAACATGATGGTGTGAGCATGTTAACATGCCAACTGTTACATTTAGCTCAAGTACATCCTCAGAGAGCATTGACAAATCACTGCAGCTTTCTTTTTTTAATCAAAGCCATGTCTAACAGAAATAACTCTTCATAAGATAGGTTAATGCATTTTAAATAAGGAAAGAAATCAGACTGTCGCAGAATCTTTTCCCTCAGCTCCTAGCTTTGAGAATAACTAAGTGGATCCACTGAACGTGGTCTTCTTGTCTCAACCGCATGTACATTTTGGAACCCCATTCTCAGGTTTTTTAGTTTTTCTGTGGGCTATTGCTTAATGTAAAAATAGTATATAAAATTAATACTTATCAGCCACAATGAGAGCACTACTCCCATTCTGCTGTAGTGAAGCGAAGCCAAATGGCAGCAAAACCACCACCAGAGAAGTCCAGCTCCATGGAAAGACATTATCAGCCATAGCCAATGTGTTCAGCCCCAGGTCATATGTAGAATAAGGCAGAGGAATAGCTCCACTGAGATGGAGGGGAGGAAAAATAAAACATAATAAGACAATATATCTGTTGTTAGGAGGAAACTGGTGTTAGGATGAAGGGACCGTGTTGCAAAGAACCCCCCCGGGACACAGAAGAAGACGGAGCAGACGCATCGAGCAGGTAACAGCTCTTCTCTTTAGGTAAAAGAAGCACCAAAAAGAAAGCAAGGAGTCTTGAGTACTGCGTGTGCTGAAGTTCATCAATTCAGCATGCTTCATACACCTAGTTAACTGTCGTCATGCAAACAGTGTCTTTTTTTGAAAAGTGGGTCACAACAGTGTTAAGTCAGAACTCTCAACAAAAAGCAAAGCAACAAGTTTTTCCAGAAATTTTGTTGCATGCATGTCAGTGCTGCATTTTGTATCAGCTCATTCACCCTTAGTTAGAGTATGCATTTGTTAAATTAAAATGTCATGCATGTCGTAAAAGAGTGCTTTCTATTTCATGTTTACTTCCTTGAGGTTGAGCTTCATCTTTAACTCTGTAGCACTTTGATAAAGCCAAAGCTTTTAGGCTTACAGGTAGCGATCATAATCCATGAATGTACTCAGAGTGAATGTGAAAACTGTATTTCCAAAGGGATTTGCTTTGCTCTGTCAATTCAGGGTAACTATACTGCTGCGACATTGACATTTTAACATAACCACCATGACAGTTTTCAGTTTTTTGGTCATGAAGTGAATATTTGAAACATTCACCTAAGAAGCAACTAGACTCATAGAGCCTGTGTTCATGTTCAGAGGCTGACACTCAAACTAGCTTATACTGGGACATCTCGAATACATTAAGAGTAAAACCATTGCTAACTGCTTTCCTGCATTGTAACCTGGCTCCAGCACAGAAGAAACTGGGACTGGGGCTTCTTCACACACAGAACAGGAAGAGAGTCATGCTGCTCTTCAAATACAGGAAATAACCTCTGTGCTGGTGATGCAGGTCTCAAGGGAAAGCTCAGTTTTGTAACAGCATGAACGGCAGGACCGTGCAACATGTTACAACACAGACACACACTCTCATGCACTTAGTCACACATTTCTGAGTGCTGATGCCATAAATTAAGAGCAAGGACCATGTTCATCACTGAATTATCAGAAACAATGATAGTATCTCACTGTCTTTTTCTCCCTCAACACCATGCACATGGATTTGATAGAAACTGTAAAGCTGCCACTAGATGATATGTCTGTGTAGACAGATTTCCCCCTGCAACACGTCCAGTGGTCTGCTCAGTTAGAGCCAAGCGCACAGTGTGTATCTGTGCAGGGAGGCTGCATCTGTACATGGAAGGGGGGGATTAGGCTGGGAGCATTCATTCACTGGGTTGCCTGGTGGTGGAGGACAAAGGAGGGGAGTGCACACTGGTTGTCTTATTCCACACTGTGGCTAGTACTTCTCTCCAGCACAGAGGAGACAAGAACAATGCCAGCTGAATATCCCATAGATGGTATAATAAAAATCCAGCTATGGTCTTAATCAAAACAGAGCGACAGCAGGGACAGACTGAGCTGAGCCTGTAGGTCAGGCCAAGCTGGTACCAGTCCATGTCCTGTCCTTTACCTGTCCTCTCTGTCCTCACAGCAGGTCCACTCCAGTCATTTGTGTTTGTCCTTTGTCTAAATCATAACATGAAAGGGTGTCTTCCCATTCTGTCCTCAAGGACAACCCTTCTCTCATTTCAGACTTTGACCTATGCAATATGTGATATGCAATAGTGTATGTCTATGGTTCTTGTAGTCCCTGGGTCCTCAATGGGTACTTCTGCATTTAGCAGAGGTGATAAAATAACAGACAATTGCACTTAATTTGAAAAAAAAAAAAAATCAAAACTAATTACCATTTGTTAAAAGAATATAGCCACATGGTTGATGCAGTTAGCTAAAAGTAATGAGATTCTGGTTGAACTTG